ATGAAGAAGTATCTATTGGAAATGTATTTTCAGGTAAGTTATTTTTAATATACGAGTTTTAAGTTCTGAACTTTATGATGAAATACCTAAAAGAATCACAACCTCCCCTACTCTGAGAATTGTGACATTTGTTCTGTAGGTCTTTCGTCCTCTCCAACTTATTTACTACCTCTTCAAGAAGTATGGAATTTAATGTATATATATCACACAGGCAAAGTATAATTCTATAGCCTTCAAACATAAACTACAATATTAGACCCACTTGCAATGCCCACATGTCACATCCGCTTTCTTTTCCAAATTGCTGGTAGTTCTCTCTAACATTTTATACTATAGTATTTATGACCAATAGAAAGGCATAGTTTTAATCTATGAAATAATGTATTATGTTGTTTTCTGCACAGAATATTGTATATTTCTTATTCAGTTTGAAAGTTTCTCATGCAGTGCTCAGATCAATAAGCAAAACTAAATTTTTAAAGGCTCTTATGCCACAGTTAGAAAGCAAAATAAATTATGATAGTTAGAGGACATTGGTTGCATTGTGCTTGTTATTATTCTGTGCCCTTCAGTGCATTATTATTTAATTCAGTAAAATTTATTTAGTGTACTAGTACCATTAGTATACAAATGCAGTTTTAAATTTCATTGGCAACTGACAGCGAACAAACAAGAGGTCACAAGTGACTGATATATTTCTTGTTTTTCATATGTATTCTTTATTTTATGTTTTAAAAGTAGCCAAAATGTAAAAATCAGAAACTTATTAGGTGAGATAATGAAAAAAAATTTGTTCATGAGGTATGCCTGTGTATTATGCAATTTGATACAGTAATGTGGGCTACACATTTGCCAAGTGATTTGCAACTTATGTGGCAGTATTGTTAGTTAGACACAGGTCAAAGGGCAATAAAGTTAAGTGTAAACAGATGTATACTGTTGCAAGCTTTATGCTGTTTACGATAAACTACAGTAGTTTCCTGCTAGAGTTTGCAGTCATTCTAGGAATAAAAAAAGAATAAGTTTGTTTCATAGTTTTTTATGGTGGTAACTAGGTTGATCAAATTGATAGAATGCATGTAGGATTAGGCTGGAGAAGATAATATAAATTATAAAGTTTTACTGCAAAAACAAATGTTTCATATTTATTTAGGAGGTTTTAAAGATTATGCAAATGAAATTTGATAATTTTCAACGAAGAAAAATATTTTTAATCTTAACTATGAAAATCACTTTGCTCTCAGAGTAGTCAGCACCCTGACAAACAAACTTTTAGTAAAAATACTTAATCAAAAAATCTGATTTTTTTGTATAAAAGACTTGCATTGTTTACTTAAAGCTGCCACATTTCACTGACCCCTTGTCATCATTGGAAGGTTTTTTTCCATTGCTGTAACAATTCAAGTTTATGAAATTCAATAAAAAGCATTTTTATCTTTACAGTTTGCTAGGTAATTATATGACAATAAATAAAATGAATGAAAAAGTACCTTTTGGAAACTAGCAATAATGTGGTAGTGTGTAGAACTGCACCTGCATTTTTCAGCTAGTTACTGCTTTCTTTATCCTGGGTAGCCTCTAGTGTTGAATGCTTGCTGCCACATGCAGTAATGCTTGTTTTATTATATATATATATATTGTTATACATTCAAATTTAATGTTATGTATTTTCTATTTATTGTACAATGAGTCTTTTATCTATTACTATAAATACTACATACAAATAATTTATTCAAACAATATATTTGTGGTGATGTGTTGACAGCAACAGCGTTTACTTTCTGCCTGCTCTCCCATGCAGATAAGATCTTGCTCACTCTGATTATGATCTCTCTGTTTCTCTGTCTTTCATTAGACTCAGACAATTTGTTCTGGAGGATTGAAAGATCAAACACATTTAGGTAATGAACAATATACATAAAATGTCTACATATAAAACATATATGGTAAGCAATCACAAAAAATTTAGCCAAAATATATGGGATCCAGTGGTCACAATACATAAGCAACTAGATCATACTCTAGAAATTAATCAGAGCGTGGTATTCTTCAAAGCATGGAGTCAGACAGAGTGGAACATTGCATACACTGCAAAAGTATTTCATATCCTTATTACACACGAGGCCTACATGAGGTTGTAGAGCAAACCAAACATCTTTTTTGAGCATGCCTTTTTCTCGCTGTGCTGAGAAGAGGTCTAATAAAGTAATCTAACCAGAGTGATGGCCTATTTGGACAGGCCTTTCTGCAGTACTTGTCTCTCTGGCTTTGATGACTGGACAGGCCTTTCTGCTGTACTTGTCTCTCTGGCTTTGATGTTTGGACAGGCTTTTCTGCTGTACTTGTCTCTCTGGCTTTGATGTTTGGACAGGCCTTTCTGCTGTACTTGTCTCTCTGGCTTTGATGTTTGGACAGGCCTTTCTGCTGTACTTGTCTCTCTGGCTTTGATGTTTGGACAGGCCTTTCTGCTGTACTTGTCTCTCTGGCTTTGATGACTGGACATCATCTCCAAACCTTTCAAATATTTGTCTTATGGTGCAAAGACGAAAGATTAGATACTTGAGTCACATTCCTGTCTTCACCAGTAACATGTATGAATTTAGGATCACAGTATCCACTAAATACCATATCAGCTTTGTCAGCAAGTTTCATATTATTTGTATAGTCCACTATCACATGAGTTTTCTTTATATTTTCACCAGTTATTCTGTCTTTCTTACCAGTATCAACCTTTTTTTCCTTTGTGGAGTGTTATTAACATATTTCACTTCACATTTATCATTTCATTTTATAGCTAAAATATTATCTGCATGAAGAGTGGAGCTTTCTCCTCTTGACACTGGTCCTAATTGGTGGAAAAGTTTCTGTTGGGGCAAACAGTCCCAAAAGCTCCAACCTTTTTGGTAAATAGATAATAGAAGAGTTGTGGACTTGTATACCAGTTATCAATAAATAAGCTTTGTCCTTTATCAAAATATGGTTCCATCATCTGTCTCATGATCACTCCAGATAATCCAAGTGGGCTTTTAGATGGTATCTTCGTTGTTGCTCCAGTGTAAATAATGAGGTCAAGCATAAACCCATTTTTGCAATTGCACAAAAATATTTTTATTCCAAAATGATGTCTATTGCTTGGAATATACTCTTTGAATGCTAGACGCCCTTGAATAAGATCAGACTTTCATCAATCACTACATTTTTGAAGGAATAAAATATTGCTCTAAGTTTTTCTTTCAGATAGAAAAAGGCTGGTCTTGTTTTTTTCATTGTGTCTGTTGAATGAACGTAGTTGTCAGAAAAATGGAGCATTTGAAGAATCAAGAGAAAACGTGATTTTGTGTCACATTAGAAAAAATTGGTGTTGGAAATTAGATTATCTTTGGCCTAATATTCACTCATTTCATTTTTTTTTCATGTGAGGCGTTAGCATGCACAGACCCAGAAAGACATACAACTCATTTACTGTTTCATATTTCCACCTAAGTAAATACAATGATGGTGGCACTCCCACCTTTTCCATCATAAATAAATAATGCTTATTTGACTCTGTCTCTATTATCTTTACTAGTGTGTGGTCAAAAAAATAACATGGATTATTCCAATTCACTGCTGTTACCACTTGCTCCTGCATTACTTGCAAAGCCACTGCAAGAGGAATTAAACTCAAACAGCTGTGGTGAGAAATCTCCAGCCAGCCACCACTAATCAGCATTTTCAAGATCAGCCCTCACTACAGGAGGACTGCTTGCAACAGTGGCTCCACTGTGGTAGCCAGAGCTTAGTCATTGTATTCCTCCTCACTGTCACTGCTTGAAGACCTAGCATCTTTATTGTTACTCTCTGCAGCAACACCAGCGATGTCATCATCATCCAACTCAAGTAGATCATCTGCCTCATCATCTATTTTAAACAAAGCTCACTCGAGTTCATTATTTGTCAAGCTGCGCATGTGTCCTCTCCTGCTGATCAGTGATCGTCTGCCTCCTCGTCATCTATTTCGAACAAAACTTGTTTGAGTTCATCATCTGTCAAGCTGCACGTGCATCCTCTCTTAGCTGATCAGTGATCGTCTGCCTCCTCGTCATCTATTTCATAGAAAACTTGCTTGAGTTCATCATCTGTCAAGCTGCATGTGCGTCCTCTTCTAGGCATGATTTTGGAGTAAATGAGTCAGCCTCTGAGCATAAAATTCTTTCAAGAGTAGGAAAAGCTTTGACCGCAACAAACCAGGCATGAGGCACTTAAATAGCGTGTGAGACATTTGGCACATATATATATACAGATGGAGATGAGAATGGGTTAAGATACTCTAAATATATTAAAAGATATAGTAAAGAAACTTTGATAGTAACTTTACGGTCACAAGGATGCTTATGTCGATCAAGCCTTTAGTGAGAGGGGTTAATATTGTAGTGATATTTGACCATATTGCTAAATTTATTGTATATGATTTGTAGAAAGTGTATCCACATTCAGATTTGAAAACTCATAACATTGATAGGAAAACATTGAATGAATAGATGTTAATAAACAGGTTTTACTTTATAGGGTACTGAAAAATTTTTAGTTTTTAGTTTTTCGTAATATTCACAGTTGATCAATAAAGCTTTTAAGTTAGTTTTTTTCCATTTAAATAGCTACACTCTAAAAATTGTCATTATCACATCTGAAAACTTTTTAATATCTTGTCATAAAAGTGAAGATCAGTACTAATTATTTATAGGACATCTTTCTTGTAATTGTGCATAACCTGTGAAGTATTAATTGGTTTCTACCAGTAATTATTTAGAGAATACAATGACGTAACTGATGGTAAAAATGAAAATTCAGAAAATCACTTTTGAAAAGTATACCTTTCTTCATCAAGTTTCCTTTCCAGACTACTTAGATCATCATATTTATTATGTATGCATGCATATAAGTTTCTAGTTCTTTGAAGATTTTAATGAGTGATCTATTGTGAGAAATAAAATTAAACATTGTTTATCTTCTTGGTTCAGTACCATGTGAGAATGTTCGAGGTGGATTCTTGCTTTGTTTTCTGGATAACGGTATTGGAATGGATCCAGGTGAGTTGTAGACTTGTATAGAATTTTGTAATATATGGCCACTTAGATCAGAAACTTAATATGTTATAAACATTATATAAAAATCCAAATATATCCTATAAACTTCATAAAACCTTCTGTATCACTTTATCAAACAAAATCACTAGATTGTATGTATGTGTGTTTTTATTCAACCATGTAATATATGTTTGTGTAACCATAAGGTAAATATTAGGTTACTGTGTAATAACTATAGTTTGGGTGCAAATTAATTTTTGCTTTCAAGAGAGTAAGTCACATCTGCACAAGAAATGGTATCTTCCTCGCACATCTGCCTATGAGATTTGCATGCCACTAGACTTGAGGTAACATCCACCTAAATTCACGTGTTTAATGTACAAACTGCATCGATGCATGGTGAAGTCATCATGCGACTAAAGCCCTCCTCTAATGAGAGGGTAAACAAAACTTCCAGGTATAGTAACTAACTCCCCCTATGTACAACATAGACATGTTCAAATGTTATCTGGCTTCGATTTGATGAGATTTGCATTTGTTAATGAAATTTTTATTTTTACTATACTTTGGCTTTTGTCTTCACAGCTTTAATTTATTATTATAAATTCTCAAATGACAGTGACTTCAATTTTGTACAGTGCAAGTGATGATGCTACTCACACAGGACCAATTTCTTTTATGGCATTTGGGAGATTGTTGACTGAAGAGGAAGTCACAGCCATTGTGCAACATGTTGTGGGATCCATCATGCATGCTAAACTTTCTTTTACCATCCATTCATTCCTTCACATAATTTTGAGTTTGAACAGGAGAAAGATAAATTTGATCGACTGCTCCCTTCCCCTGGATTTGCATTGGGTATCTCCTTATCAGTTGAGGAAAGTCCTCAGCCTTTTACACTGTTTCTTAGGTATGTTCTTTTGTTTTCTTTTTCTCTTATGATTTTTTGTAATGTTTGATCCATGATCCTAAACCTTGAGATTATTTAGTCATTCCTCCTTCACCTGACATTTGGGTTCATGCTGACTCCTTCCTTGAACAACTTCATAACTGTCACCATATGCCTTGTTCTTCTTGCCTTTCTCATTGTGATGTTCCATCATACAGTCATTCTTCCTTTCCTTTTCTTTATTCCCAATTTTTGGAATTTCTATTGCCTGTTTGGGGAGGGAAACTCCCTGTCTTCTGTTTCTCTCTCTCTCTCCAGTGATCAGTTTTATGTCTTCATCTTTTTCTCCCCACTCTTTATAGTTACCTCTTCTCCTTGCATTTTGTGTCTGAGGTGCTTCATTATGCTCCAGCTGAGTTTTTAAGAGAGATTATTTCTTTCTTTATATTTTACCACTATGGCTTGTACTATTTCTTCTGCTATATCTCTGCTTTATTGGGTTATTGGGTCCTCTGCTGTTGGATGTTGTTAGGTAGGGTTTCTGCTTCTTATTCATGTGATCTCGTCTGGCTCCCTTTCTTCATTTTGACATCTCCAGTGGTGTTCTTGACTCACTTGAGTCCTGGGCTGAGGCAGTCTGGCACCAGTTCTCATTATTTTTTCTGGTTTCTCACTTATTACAAACAACCTCTTCAACTCCTGTTCTTCAAATGGATCAGTCTATCCCTCTTCTTCCCATTCCACCTTCTAGACTTTACTCCTTTTCCTGTCTCCCCACTGCCCACCTTCAGATGCATTGTAGATCTCGTTGCTGATTATCCTGTCGGTTCAGAGCTTTTGGCCTTAGTTTGCTAACCTTTGTTAACAGTTTTTTGTTGACGGTTGGGTTGTTCAAGTCCTCACCCATGGTCTGTCTCTTTGCTTCTCTTCTCCACCACCCCTCTCTCCTCTTCTCATTTAGTTTTCTCCTTCTTCCGATCCTGTCCGTCTTCAGCATTTCATGTAGTATTGGATCTTTTGGTCAAACATACCATTGAAAATGTGAGTGACCTTCTCAAGGTTTTTACTCTCATCTCATTTTGGTTTCCAAGAAGACTGGGGACTGATATCCAGTAATCGACCTCTCATCTCTCAATCACTTTCTCGATGGAAAACTTTTCTCTCTAATGTTTCTGGACACTTGCACTGTGGATAGCCAAGGTCAACCTTCCAGACTCCTTCCTCCACGTCCTAAATGCTCTGCAGATTTTGTTTCATTCATCAAAACAATAACTTCCAATTTCATACTCTTCCTTTCAACATAGTGTCAGACCCTCATGTCTTCAATCGAGCTATGGAGTATCTGGTTACCAAGATTTGAGCTTCTCTTCATCCTGTGTGAGAGGTTCTGGCTTCCCTGAAATCCCTTATTTCATTGGGATACACACACACAGGTGCCTTTTGCAGTGAACCTTGCAGTAACAATGGATTCCTTCTCAAGATCCACTGTTCTCGATTATGAACCTCCCCTCTTCTCAAAGACTTGCCCCTCGACGTGGATTCCTGTACGTGGTGAGGGGACCTCCCAGGGAAGGTTCTGTATTTACAGTTACTTTCTCTGGGATCTAAACATCCACCCACGTGTTTGCCGTGCGCGGCGACCCGTGAAGGGGAGGAGAGGATCCTGGTGGTTGAGTGGTGTCTGGACACTGCAACACACCACTTTGGCCTTGAATTCCTGTAGATGGTGGCCTTAGGGTGGCC